CTACAAACTAAAGAAGCCAGCTGTTGCGTTTCATAATTGTTGTGGGCGCCGAGGTCCCTTTTGAAATGACAGAAAGTCGGGGTTTTCAATTCAAATCAGTTCCTTTTTGGACAAACTACTAGAGAAGTTTCGTCCCCTGCCACCAGAATGCATTTAAAGAGAATTCTGCTTTTGTAGAAACTTATGAATCATTGTGCTGTGCAGTAAGAATGAATATTCTGCAGGCCTACAGGCCAGAAAAAGCTGTTCCGTATTAGTCTTGGATATGAGATATCAACTCTTCTGTGTTGTCTTTTACTACCATATATCAAGGGAGGTCATACATTTGGACAAAAAAGTACAACTTCCTTGAATCCTATTCAACACATTCAACTGATGATAACGCTTGCCATTTCAACATAATTACAGACCCAGGCCCAGTCAAATTATTTTGTCTAGATCAGGGCATGTCTCATCATTTTGGCTTTTTCGGTAACTGGCTTAGATTGAAAAGACAGAGAGAAAAATAATGTTGGAGATCAATTTGAGCCTGGGCCAGTGTTCCGTTCCAAACAGTGATTTTCACGTTCTTGTTGTCTGTGTGCCACGCCGCGTCTCTCCTTTTCTCAGATAGTCATCGGTGGTTTAAATCCTGCGGATCAAAATTGAATTTGCTTTTACACTTAACCTTGAAAATTGGCTTACGTTAACTGTGTTATAGGGCAAACAGTGATTGGGTTTCAAAATGTCCGCTCGGCTCATCTGTGGGCTCCAGGCCTCGGTGGAGACGAGTGATTAACTAACTGTGATATGAGGATAAGGGAGTTTGGAACGCGAAGTAGAAGCAGACTGAAGTTATATGTGTTTATACAGCCGACAGACGTAGCCTGTGTATTGCTAAAGAGGAGGAGAATGGTATAGGACTTTTGTTGATGATCAACCAAGACAGCTAGGCTACTTCAGGAGCTGCTCAGACGGTCACTCAACCTGCAGCCACAAGTTACCGTGGGGAGAAATAAGAGTCGCCACGGTAACTTGTCTCTACACCACAGAGAGGCTGGGCTGAATGCACTGTGTCTCCAAGGACCAGTGAAAAGTGGATCCCATAATAAGTCTCACAGCAATAAAAAAGTTTTATGGGCAAAAATTGAGAATCACTGGCATTTTTCTCTCCATATTTCTGGATAACCACACTGACCGAACAGACCAAGGCTTAGTGCTTTAACGACTAGAAAACAATGGTCAGAATAAGCCAGTAAGTGGTCTGCAATAAATGTCTGATAGAAATAAATGTCTAATTGGGAAAATGTTTCAGGGAAATGCAAATTATGAACATATGATATCACTGATGCTGTGAATTCTAACATGTTTGTTGCATATAATAACAAGTTAAGAAAGGGTCATGCAACGTGCCAAACAATACCCCTTTGCTGTGGTATATTCACAATATACCATGCCCCCTTGGGTGTCATTGCTTAAATGTTTGTTGTGTGTACAGGTAGTGATAGGGGACAAATCGCTACAGTTACACAGCGTGATGTTATTTTTCACGATATGATCCTGAGGGGGGCTGAAAAGGGGACTGAAACTGTGGACATATTTAAAATAAATCTTTAAAAACATATTTTTAGCTTTGGTTTTTTAGCTTTGGTTTTCACAATATTATTTTTACGCAAGTTGCCTGTACCTGCAAAACTCCAGTATTTTTCCTTCATAGCTTGTTCTCCATCTTTTTTTTAAATAGGGAGCCAATTTGTTTTCAGCGCTTTTATTTCCATGACTATTCAAAACTTGTTTTCTCATGGCTCTCTCTTGTCCCTCTGCAGCAGACATATAGTGAGCAATATGTTGGGAACATCAAATCGCAATACAATTAGAGTATCGAATCGCAATACATATAGAATCGCAATACATATCGTACCGGCACCAAAGTATCGTGATAATATTGTATCGTGAGGTCCTTGGCAATTCCCAGCCCTATATTCCAGAGGGTCTCAGAATGACAACCGACACAGTAGCCTATGTGAGGACGGTAAGGTAAGGTGTGGGCACTCTAGGGTTAAGTGTCTGTGTGAGTCACTGTATTTAGAAGCCAAATGAGTCAGCCAAACAACCCTTGTTTAAGTCCTGATTTCTCCTGTTTTCCGGAACCCGCAAATGTACAATTCCCTGCATTTCCCTCTCAGGTTCTCTTCATTTATTTATTTGTGTTTTGGAGATGAAAGAGAAAAGGAGGGAGGATGGAGAGAGGGAGGGAGGGAGGAGGTAGAGAAAAAAAAAACCTGGTTCAATTTCACCCCCGGTTCGTTTACACATCCGGACTCACTCATGAAGAGACGACGTGGCACAATAGCAGCAGCAGCGAGAGCTGCAAAGCGCATTGTTGATGAAAAACATAAAAGACGCATTTAATTGGGCCCATTTATCCAGCGAGGTAGGCCAACTCCCCTTTACACCGCTGTGCTAGTGTACCGTACAACCACCACAGCACTGGCTTCTCCTGTTCCATGCATTGTGTTTTATGGGAAGTAGGCTGTAAAGTATAGGCCACTGGAATAATTACGGCAATTTATGATCAAAGCTAGAACAATGTCCAAGACAAATACAAGGTGGCATCGGATAGCAGCACATCTGATGATACGCAGGGAATTTGAGATTGCCAAAAGGTGCTCTGCCAAGGTAGAGGCTGCTGAGGGCTGAAACCGCATCACTACATTTTATTACTGAACAACAAGCGTCTGGAAGTCACTCACACAGGTACTAATTATCCCTTACGACATGAGTTTTACCTTGTGAACTTGGAGTGAACTCAGGTGCCTGTGTTGTGTGATCTACGTCGCACAGGATATGATATGGGGTCAACACACAGATGTTGTATAGGGAGCTATTGTATAGCGGTGGTAAAGTGGATTATTAAAAGCAGTAAGAACATGTGGTCTGTTTGATTTATTTCCAGGTGCAAAGACGTAGTAGAGATCATGTCAAGAGACACCTGTGTGTTATCGCCTATGGATAGATTGGATTGACATTCACTCATTATACAGTTTGATCATGTGACCTAGGCCTATACTTCAACATTCTTTCCCCCATATTCTATGCATCAAAATGACCCATTCACTCTGTCTCTCTCAGAACCTTTTTCAACTTTGAGACATAACAGGCCGACTGCTCTAGCAACCCCATCTCTCCTATACCCCTCAGGCATACGGTATCTCCACTCTCTACAGTCTGACTACAGGCCTTGAGATTGGTTTAGGAAATATATGATATGTTCAGATCCTACACTGTTTACGCTCCAACTGCATTGGCTGTGGTTCGTGAGACAGAATGAGGGAGGGAGAGAGAGAGAGAGAGAGAGAGAGAGAGAGAGAGAGAGAGAGAGAGAGAGAGAGAGAGAGAGAGAGAGAGAGAGAGAGAGAGAGAGAGAGAGAGAGAGAGAGAGAGAGAGAGAGAGAGAGAGAGAGAGAGAGAGAGAGACCCTTCTTGGCATGTGGACAACAGTAGAGCAGTACACTACCTGTCAAGGTGTGACATTTTGGGGAACCCCAGCAAACAGGAGATATTATGCAGACAGAGGCACAGTGCAGGGGGGAACAATCCATGTGTTGTCCTCCTCATATGTGTCCAGGTGCTGTAGGCCTATTCATTCATGCCATTCAAATGCACCTGCAAACAGTACAGTGGATTGAATGGTTCTCTTGTTGGGGCTTGTGTAGTTTAAGAGACGTGGTCTATGGTGCAGGTGTGAAATATGCAGGTCATTGGACATGGGCCTAGACTATAGACAAAGCTAAATTCATCGATCCTGAGAGTTAGGAGACAATGACAATAGTTAGCATTCACAGCTAGCCAAGTTTGCAGACTATTGACCGCTATAAACTATAGTTTTAAACACTCAGGTTTCTATTCTATTTCATTAGGCTACTCACCTTTCAAAAGTCCTCTGTTGCTCGTCATAGTAACATCCCTTCGTTGCACAACTTCCAAGTATCAATAGTAATAGTAGTGAAATAAAGTTTACAACTCCAGGCCTACATGAACAAACATACAGGTAAGTGCCAAAATAAAGGAAACACCAACATAAAGTGTCTTAATAGGGCATTGGGCCACCACAAGCTATGCGAAGCTTCAATGCACTTTGGCATAGATTCTACAAGTGTCTGGAACTCTGTTGGAGGGATGCGACACCATTCTTTCATGAGAAATTCCATCATTTAGTGTTTTGTTGATGGTGGTGGAAAATGCTGTCTCAGGCGCTGCTCCAGAATCTCCCACAAAATTCAATTGGGTTGAGATCTGGTGACTGAGACACACACACACTGTGTGCTCCTTTGAGACCCCGTTTTCATAGTCACTGAGATCTCTTCTTCTAGCCATGGTAGCCAAAATAATGAGCAAATGGGCATTTTTATAGCCTATATGACCCTAACCATGATGGGATGTTAACTGCTTAATGAACTCTTGTGTTGAAGCTCCTGCTTTCAATATACTTTGTATCCCTGGTTTACTGTAAGTCTTTCCTTTATTGTGGCGGTTACATGTAGTTTGTTGTTCAACATGACAGGCGTGAGCTAGCGTGCAGTTGGTACGGGTGGCGTGCGGGGAGATTGATTGCGAATATGCGTGGGAATTCCAGGTGACGCACAATGATCACCTGAATGTCATATTCATCCCTCTATGTTGCAGTGTTATAAATGGTGTCATACTATCATAGGCTACTATCAACGATTCATTCATCATCTTTGAATGAATCATGTTTGTACTATGTTTGTTAGCAGGCAGTTGACAACTTGCATTCAGCAAGGCTCATTGGAAGCCTGCCATTATAAACAACCATGTGTGGTTGTGTCTTTGACTGACAATTCCATACAAATTGCAATTGCAAATATCCATTGCAAATAAAACAAAGAAATTTTTAGATATTGACATAGAACTGTTATGCCCAGTATGGTACTGTTGTTAGAAATAGGTCCAACTTCTCCCTCCCTTTTGTCCCCATATCATGCAATCTATGATATCACATGCTTGGGGACTGAACCTAACACTGACATCATAAAAATCCCTTGTCTCTTTCCTCCAGGTAGCTGGTAGGCAGGCATACCAGGCAGGTGGAATGTTCCCATTGTCAGACAGCTAGTGCTCTGTAGGTGGGACTGTAGGGGGAAGGCGATGGGTAGATACCGCAGGCTGGAGCTGGGCTGAGCTCAAGGCCCACCTCGGTATATGCCTGTCAGGCCGCTGACCCCTGTGTGGTAAAACAGCCTGGAAGAATTCCTCCTTGGTCCTTCCCTCTCCCCTGCCTGAAACAGATGCTTGCCTTTGATGTGCAGCGGGCCAGAGCAGGATCATTTGATGAATGACATCCTCCTCTTTATATGTTCTAGTCTTCCCCCACTACTGAGGTAATGGTCTCCCGGCCTGTCCCGTCTCATTCTGATACGATGAACAGACAGGATAATATAATTAGCCTTAATGGATTTCTCCCAGCTGAGATATGTTGTAGTAATAACATGTCTTCAGTATCATATATCGACAGCAAGTAGAAGTAGCAAGGCTACATGATGTATGTTTATGTGACAGTGGCCAATCATGTGGCGTTAACCCCCAGGCTGATGTTATCAAGTCTTTTCCTAGAGATTTATGTCCACTTTGGATGACATCACTACACTAATTCATGATGGAAGCCAAAAAAGTCATAGGATCACATAGCTACAGTGTAAACACCATGGTGACTAGTGATGAGGATACTCCGATAAAGAGAAATGATCATTACGCAACCACAGCTGTCGCCACAATAGCCCTTAATGGTACGCCAAGCTCCAAGACTTAGTTAGTATACTGTATTTAGCCAGGTTCCAGATCATTGTCATGCAAATGACCATAGGAGTTGGCTATTTAGCAGAAACAGATACATTTACATTTTAGTCATTTAGCAGACGCTCTTATCCAGAGCGACTTACAGTTAATGAGTGCATACATTATTATTATTTTTTATTTTTTTCATACTGGCCCCCCGTGGGAATCGAACCCACAACCCTGGCGTTGCAAACGCCATGCTCTACCAACTGAGCTACATCCCTGCCCAGATCTGGAACAAGGCTAGCCTACTGTACTATGTTGTTATTATACAGTCATCTCTCTAAACCATGTGACCAGGATAGTATGGAGTCAGTATGGACTTGATATGGGAACAGAGAAATAAGGATGACAACCCCCCTGTCTTATTTTATGACATGCTGGAGTTAGCTTTGCTTTGATTTTTCTGTCCAGAGTCCACCAGACATCCTGGTGTATATACCATTGTATTGTATTTTGTGAAGAAGAAGAAGCCTGTTTTTATAATGGGAACTTGAACCAGATGGGGGGAAATTGGAGATAAATGCAGACGGAGTCCATGTAAGCGGCTGAACCTTTTGGCGATGGGGAGGGGGTGTGATGTCATCATATGTGCCACGTATAGGTCACCGTGCATATCTATGGACTGGAGAATCTCTAGGATAGCAGGAGGAGGAACAGACAGTTTCTTTTCACATCAATCACAAATGGCATTACAGTACATTAAAGCTTGCTGTACTATGACATCTTGTTGCATTGCCCATGAACACCTAGTTGATCAGCTGGCTACTAATTTAGTTATATGTAAGTCCTTAGATGTTACTTGAGTTGCATTTTTCCTTATTGCATTTGCCTCTGTTCTAGTTGACAAAAAGGGATCACCTTCATTTATGCCATTTTCTAAATTGCTTTGAAAGTAGATATACCACAGTATAGCACCTCCAGTCAAGCCAAGCATTTAGCATATCTGGCAATCATCATGGCAATCTCATAAACTGTACTGTACATAAAACTGTCTCGAAACACTGTTTCAGCAAAGCTGTTCTACAGTTTTAGCCAAGATGAAAGAAAGTAAATGGTGAGAATGTCCTGATGATGTGAGACAGTGATTCAAGTCAATGTGAACAAGTGAGACAGGTGAGGAGAGTAGACAGACAGGTGAGGTGAGCAGACAGACAGGTGAGTAGACAGACAGGAGGTGAGTAGACAGACAGGTGAGTAGAGTAGACAGACAGACAGACAGGTGAGTAGACAGACAGACAGACAGACAGACAGGTGAGGAGAGTAGACAGACAGACAGGTGAGGTGAGTAGACAGACAGACAGGTGAGGTGAGTAGACAGACAGACAGGTGAGTTAGAGTAGACAGACAGACAGGTGAGTAGAGTAGACAGACAGACAGACGGTGGCGTCGACAGAAACAGACAGACAGACAGGGCGTAGGAGAGTAGGACAGGACACAGGTTGAGGGGAGTAGGGACAGACAGGACCAGGTTGATGGGAGTAGACAGACAGACAGGGAGTAGAGTTAGACAGAACCAGACAGGGAAAGGTGAGTAGACAGACAGACAGACAGACAGAAGGGGAGAGTAGACAGACAGGTGAGGAGACAGACAGGTGAGGAGAGTAGACAGACAGGTGAGGAGAGTAGACAGACAGGTACATGGCACAGTAACATTAGTAGAAGCATTAACATCTTTCTAGTAGTATTTTTTGGACTGGCAGCCAGCCATGTTGTAAAGGAACACTCTTTGGCGAATTTTATAATGAAATCAGATATGACAAAAGTTCAAAGTCCCATCTGATTAAGGGTAGAGCTATCTGAAAGATTACCTCTATTCTTCACACAGATGAAAAGGAGTGATAATCACTTCTTATACAATGTACAGTGAGGGAAAAAAGTATTTGATCCCCTGCTGATTTTGTACGTTTGCCCACTGACAAAGAAATGATCAGTCTATAACTTTAATGGTAGGTTTATTTGAACAGTGAGAGACAGAATAACAACAACAAAATTCCAGAAAAACACATGTCAAAAATTTTATAAATTGATTTGCATTTTAATGAGGGAAATAAGTATTTGACCCCTCTGCAAAACATGACTTAGTACTTGGTGGCAAAACCCTTGTTGGCAATCACAGAGGTCAGACGTTTGTTGTAGTTGGCCACCAGGTTTGCACACATCTCAGGAGGGATTTTGTCCCACTCCTCTTTGCAGATCTTCTCCAAGTCATTAAGGTTTCGAGGCTGACGTTTGGCAACTCGAACCTTCAGCTCCCTCCACAGATTTTCTATGGGATTAAGGTCTGGAGACTGGCTAGGCCACTCCAGGACCTTAATGTGCTTCTTCTTGAGCCACTCCTTGTTGCCTTGGCTGTGTGTTTTGGGTCATTGTCATGCTGGAATACCCAACCACGACCCATTTTCAATGCCCTGGCTGAGGGAAGGAGGTTGATGCAGTGAAGTTGTTCTGTCCCCTTAGAAGAAAAACACCCCAAAGCATAATGTTTCCACCTCCATGTTTGACGGTGGGGATGGTGTTCTTGGGGTCATAGGCAGCATTCCTCCTCCTCCAAACACGGTGAGTTGAGTTGATGCCAAAGAGCTCCATTTTGGTCTCATCTGACCACAACACTTTCACCCAGTTCTCCTCTGAATCATTCAGATGTTCATTGGCAAACTTCAGACGGCCCTGTATATGTGCTTTCTTGAGCAGGGGGACCTTGCAGGTGCTGCAGGATTTCAGTCCTTCACGGCGTAGTGTGTTACCAATAGTTTTCTTGGTGACTATGGTCCCAGCTGCCTTGAGATCATTGACAAGATCATCCCGTGTAGTTCTGGGCTGATTCCTCACCGTTCCCATGATCATTGCAACTCCACGAGGTGAGATCTTGCATGGAGCCCCAGGCCGAGGGAGATTGACAGTTCTTTTGTGTTTCTTACATTTGCGAATAATTGCACCAACTGTTGTCACCTTCTCACCAAGCTGCTTGGCGATGGTTTTGTAGCCCATTCCAGCCTTGTGTAGGTCAACAATCTTGTCCCTGACATCCTTGGAGAGCTCTTTGGTCTTGGCCATGTTGGAGAGTTTGGAATCTGATTGATTGATTGCTTCTGTGGACAGGTGTCTTTTATACAGGTAACAAGCTGAGATTAGGAGCATTCCCTTTAAGAGTGTGCTCCTAATCTCAGCTCGTTACCTGTATAAAAGACACCTGGGAGCCAGAAATCTTTCTGATTGAGAGGGGGTCAAATACTTATTTCCCTCAATAAAATGCAAATCAATTTATAACATTTTTGACATGCGTTTTTCTGGATTTTGTTGTTGTTATTCTGTCTCTCACTGTTCAAATAAACCTACCATTAAAATTATAGACTGGATCATTTCTTTGTCAGTGGGCAAACGTACAAAATCAGCAGGGGATCAAATACTTTTTCCCTCACTGTATGTGATCCAGCTAAAACATCACAAGGGTTAAAGGGAATCTGCAGTATAACTCTGCACACCTGAACCCCCCCCAAAGAGAACTACACCCCCCCCACCTCCGAGAAAGTTAAAAGAACAACCAAAATGTAACGCAACCTTCCCAATCCCTACAGCATTCCTTCATTTACAGCTAAAAAAAAAACAACAGCACTCCCTTTGAAGTGGTATCGAGGTCCGAGATTGATTACCATTTAAGATTGAACAAGGTCTGGCAAAGTGGGGTGGAAAAATGACTGCTGGCAGGCAGGTCTATTGGTTACTGAGGTCTCCATGAGGTGGATTAGATGAAATATCCAGGGTCCTCCTGTCTGAGAGGGGCTACTTGTTTAAGGGCACGGATTAACCCTCTGTGTTCCACTTTCACAGGGCCGATGCATCTGGGCCCCAGCTGGGAGTTGGACAGTGTGTGTGTGTGACATACACACACACACACACACACACGAGACAGAGACAGAGAGTGTGAGAAGGGGAGCATGAAGGGGTCTTTCCTTTCTGCTATACAGTGGAGTGACCTGTCCCGTGATTGAGCAGTGAGCACAGAGCGGTTTCAATGTGCAGGGTCTGAGAATATTAAAACGAATGGAAATTCCTATATAACACATGTGGACATGAGGCACTGAGACGTACGACAGAACCACAACAGGACCAGTTGAAACACATTACAGGTTGTCACACATACGTCAGTACTATATGTGCCTGATGGGAAATGGCAGGGTATTTTAACGGTATGCATTGGGAATGAGATCACCTACTCTGGTTTAAGTCATTGAAAGCTCATCAATGGTAGTTCTTTTTGAAGCAAATTAGATTTAGTTCTGAGTTAAACATGAATTCTTTGATGATACAGTATATTTCAGAGTCTGGAACCATTTTATTTATATGTAGCTTTTGTGGACCATGGATAACCCAACAAAAAATTAAACACAAAATGTATCTATTTGCTAAAAACTGTTTATTGGAGAACATGGACAATAATATATAAACCCATATATTTTCTTCCAACCATACTGACAGAGCAGACACATGTTTGTACAGTAGTAACCAAATGGAAAATATTATAACTCAGTACAAAGAATATTAAAACCAGCAAACAAACTAATATATATAGTGACAGAACACAGGAGGCTGCTGAGGGGAGAACCGCTCATAATAATGGCTGGAACGGAGCAAATGGAATGGCATCAAACACATTGAAAACATGCGTTTGATGTATTTGATACTATTCCACTATTCTGCCCCAGTCATTACCACCAGCCCGTCCTCCCCAATTAAGGTCCCACCAACCTCCTGTGTGAGACATCAACAACCAAAAAACAGATAATTCACTAAAACAACAATCATGGGTGGTAAACGCTTCACTACATGCTACATCAAGGTAAAAAGATAACATATCATCACTTATCAGTATGGAGAAATAAAGCTAATGTTAAAACAGTGTGTAAGTATTTCTAAAGGTTTAGTCCAGTTGCACATCCCCATAAAAACATTGAATTAGTTTGTCTCATCTGCTGTGCAGATTGTTTCCTGGATCTATTGGACCGTTTTATTGTAACAGAGAGGCAAGTGGGAGATTGAACAGGTGTGTGTGTGTGTGTGAGAGAATGCAATGTCTCTGTGAGAGAACGATTGACAAAGACAAGGCACTCAACTTGACTTCAAACTCCAATTCAAACCACAGTTAGGCCAACAACCTCAGATGACAGTTACCCACAGAGTGAAGCTACACAGTGATGGCTTGTTTTAAGTTCACTAGATGAGTCTACTGTTTCCAGGAACTTATTTGCAGTGTGCATGCGGACAAAGGGACAAAGCCAAACACTGGAAATAATCAATATGATCACCTTAGCCATGGGCACAGGGCACGGTAACAGTTCTATGAAATATTAATAAGAGGTACATTGACTTCCTACATGTATCATGTTTTCATACTAAACCACATCTTGTTACATAATGAGGGAACTTTTCGCATCATTCTCTAAAAAGACAATTCATTCACAATCTTCGCCTCATCACACCTTTTAAAATGGACCTTCGAACACATTTCCAGTTTAAAAACATTTAAAATACTGATAGTTGCACAATTAGTGAAACCAATTTCTAATGGTGAGTTTAAATAAAGTACATCCTCAGTGTGGTAAGACTGAAGCCCAGTGACAGTAGCAGCAGAATGAGAGAGGAGAGGAGTGGAGTGGAGAGGTGGAGTGTGTGTTGGAGGGGGACATCTGGAAGCGAGCCACAGAGCAAGGATGGAACGATAGCTATAGCTGTTCAATGGTCCTCGTATTCATCTTTTAACTGTTTTAGAGGAGATAGCTGGGTCGTATTCATTAGGCACCAAACAAAGGAAAATGGACTGAAGCAGGGAGGGACTATCTGGACTTGTCCAATGAGAACCGCTTGTTTTCGTTTTTTCTTGGTGAGAAACATTTTTAAAAGTGCTATTGTGTGCCCTAATGAATACGACCCTGACGTCCCCCATTTTGACCTTTGACCACATTTGACCTTATGTAGCCTTCTCCAGGGACTGGTAGTACTCCACCAGTACAGCCCAAGCTTTGGGGGCCATGAAACCTTCCGGAGGGTTCTGTCCCTCGCGAGCCATCTTACGCATCCGTGTCCCTGAGATGAAGTCATAGTCTTGATGGCTGGAAAACAAAAAAGGAGGTTTTAAAAAGGCACAGTCTGTCATTTCAACAGCCTGACTCTGAAAGGTTGTTTGGTAAGTGGGGAGAGATCTTCTAACTCACTGTGTGGATGAATGGCATGACAAACTTCAGACACTTTAGGAAGAGTTCTTTGCGGGAAATTCACAAAATGCACTTCATATGTTTGAAAAAAAGGCTAGGTATTTCGGTAATTGAAGTAAACACGCACTCGAGTCCCCTTATGCTAGGGGACTTCGTATATCAAAAGAATCTCAGACACATGAAACAGCGGTACATAAAGACATTGCTTCAAGCCAGCGGCAAAAAAAAGAAGAGAGAAATCTAAACGTCAGACCTTCGCCATTAAATTCAAACCTTCTGTTAGACTTTTCAGTTTAAACAACTGGTTAGAAAATAAACACTGGCAAAACATGTCTAAACACAGCTAATTAGTCTCAAACCAAAATGAGAGAATTCCTGCAACAAACCGACTAGTCTAAATACAATCTCCCATGACTCCGCCACACATTAATAGTAAGTGGAGGATAAATTAAATGTTTGTCAATGATTAGATTAATTAGATACTACTGTAGATTCCTTAATTTAGACAAATGGGGTAACATTCAAGCACATTCCTGCTCTCACCACCGTTACAATGCACTTTCCTCATAATAATCACATTTGTCAAATGTGGTTTCGTTTCTCCGCGGTTTGCTGTCATGTGGGCTGATGTGCGCAGCGGAGTGTCTTGTATAGATTTGTACTGTTAGAGCCGCAGCAAGAGCCACAATGTTTCCACACATTAAACCTCATCATGGGTTCCTGACCAGAGTTCTAGTAGGAGCCTACTGGGGGGCTGGAGAGTTGATGCAAATTCCTGTTCCAAACGTTCTGCAGAGTCCTCTCCTGTCTACCACACTCCTGAAGTTACACTTTGAAGCCAGCAGACAATTTAGGGGTTGGATTGGGGTTCATTTTCATTTCAATTCAGAAAATGTCATTTTTTTTCTCCATTCTTGAATTGGACTTTAAAATTAGTCAATTCATCTCATTCTTAAGGACTCTGTGGGTTCTGGGTTGTCTATTCCTTGAACCCACAGCAGATGGAAATGAGCTGTTAAATCTGGTACAATGCATCATTTCTTAAGTGTACTGAAATGTGTGTTTTTGTAGTACATTGTCCCTGTTCAAATAAACGTAATAGATAAATTACATTAAAACTCCCTAGTTCCTGCCCTAGTGCTGCTGAGAGTCATCCTCATGTTATTGTCCTCTGCCCAACAGTGAGACCTGAGCCTGCAGTACAGAGTGCAGCCCAATGCAGACCAGACTGACAGCCAGGTGGCAGAACCCAGAGCGTGTGTGTGTCTGACAGGGGTGCCAACGTGTCAGCTCCCGTTTTACACCTTCAGACAAACAGACTGGCTCTCCTTCTCCACAGGAAGTAATGGGATAACCTTCCTCCTGACCTTTGTAATGCAAACCCACTGTTGAACACATCTTCAACTACTGTATTCTCCCCATACATTACTGTATTCTCCCCATAAATTACTGTATTCTCCCCATAAATTACTGTCACTTTTGTACTGGATAGTCACACCTTATCAGATTGTCCTATTTTCTATCAGATTTATAGCTCGGGCCAAGGGGCTAACACTTGCAGTCTCGCTGGGAAGAAGTGAAAATTCTAGAATCGCTATCCAGTTAACCTGTTCTACTGTATACTATGCTCAACATGTTCTGGTCCTAAAAGTTTACAAAAATACTTTGATGAACTCTGATAGTGGAGGACTTGTATTCATTACAATAGGTGGAAATGACAGGGGGGGGAGAGAGAGAGAGAGAGAGAGAGAGAGAGAGAGAGAGAGAGAGAGAGAGAGAGAGAGAGAGAGAGAGAGAGAGAGAGAGAGAGGAGACACAGACAGACAGAGAGACACACACACAGACAGAAGAGAGAAGAGAGAATAGAGGAGAGACAGAGAGAGAGAGAGAAGAAGAGAGAGAGAGAGAGAAGAGAGAGAGAGAGAGAGAGAAGAAAGAGCAGAGAGAGAGAGAGAGAGAAGAGAGAGAGAACACACGACGAAGACAGACGAGGAGGACGAGGAACGACAAAGAGAAAGAGACAAAGCAGAGACACAATAAAGGAAGAGAAAGAGAGTGAGAGAGATACATAACACGAGACTAGACGCGAGACCAGACCAGAATGAGGGAGACAACACAGAGAGAGAGAGTAAGAGAAGAGAGAGAGAGAGTGAAGAGATAGAGAGTAGAGAGAGAGAGTAGAGAGAGAGAGAGAGAGAGGAGACACAGACAGACAGACAGAGACAGACACACACAGAAAGAGAGAGAGACACACAGAAAGAGAGAGAAAGGGAGAGAGAGAGAGACACACACACAGACAGACAGACCGAGACAGAGAGAGATAGAGGGAGACACAGACAGAGAGAGAGAGAGAGAGACAGAGAGAGAGAGAGAGAGAGACAGACCGAGAGAGAGAGAGAGAGAGAGAGAGATACACACAGAGAAAGAGAGGGGAGGGGGAAGAGAGAGAGCACAAAACTCCAAACAGCAGAGGAGGAACACTTAATATGCGGTCAAATGAGAAACAGCTTGCGCTGATTTGAGCCATTACACTATAGAGGGAGACTTTAAGGGGGATCGTTGGCAATTAGGCCTAGCATCCATATTCCTCTCACATTTGGCAGCGCCCGGCTGGCACAATGTGCACGAGGAGTGGCCCGAGAGCAGACGGAATGCCATAAATTTCAGAAGGCGCCAACCAGAACCTTTGAAATAGTGATTTAGCGTTTACCCTCTTGCTCTCAGCTCTCCCTAGCCGCTAGCCTAGCACTGATATGGTCAGAAAGAGCCAGTCAGTACGGCTATGAACTTTCCTGACTTAGCTCTTTTCGGGTCTTCAGGTTTCATATTAATAAAAACAACACAATTTGAGCTGAAATGAATCGCCTGTTATATAATGTTATTGTGACAGTCAGAAAACGGACAATTACTTTGCTGGAAGGAGAAGAATATAACGTGGTTAAGGTACTTGACAAGCCAGACTGCTGAGCGCTGACTCGGCAGTTCTTAAGGGGGCTTGTTGAAAAGAACACAAGGGGAATTCGGGTAGTGGTGACAGGGTAACCACTATAGACCTTTGTCCCATTACTTTTACGTTTCCACTGAGTCACACCGTAGAATTATCTCACGCTTTAGCAGGAAGATTTACTGCTGTCCAAACGGTCTTATCCAATTGTAAAACTAGTCCAGAAACACTGGATAAAGGATAGTTCAGCCACTCGTAGTAGAAGACAAGTTGATAGAGAAATATTCATTTATTGTTCCTTTATTACATACCAAATTGTTTTGGCGTGAGGCTTTATCAACATACTTGACTAGGAGTATGGAAAGCCAGATGAAACAGGCTATAAAACAGCTTTGTCAGTTGTGGCTCTTGCTGTGGGAGTGATTCTCCTGCTTTCAAATATATATCTGTGCTCCATTTCTTAATCCCATGCCTAGGTGAAACTTAACTAGGTGTGGGGAAATATTTCCTTTCAGACTAGTTCTCCTGCCGATTGTGGTATTCCCCCCCGATATACAAATATCATATTTATCTCGTCAACTCAATTTATTCTGATATCAAAACATACGTCATGGATCTACTCGACCTTTTGATCAATCAGTTCTTACTTTTTAGCCATCATATTCCTTTGATCAGTCAGATCAGTTTCCAGTCATGATATTCTAAGCCAAACATGCCGATAAAGTGGTAGCGTGGACGGGATTAAAGCCCATAGCACACTGAGATTGCACGATTTTTCGTTAGTCATCGTCTGCAGTATCCGTATACAGACTTTTACAGACTAATTAATAGCAGTTCTCGGTGATTTCCGAGCGACTTCAAAAGCTCTGAGAAAGCCACAAAACTCTGTAAGGCACATAGGAAAGCAAAGTAGTTCCTGTTATTCTTGGCTTTGCTGTTTGCTCTAGATGAAGACGTAAAAAGGAAGGGAAACACATGGGAGGTTTGAGTGGAGAAGCTTAATGAATGATCAATTTGGGTTATTGGAGGAAGGCATGATAATGTTTACCGGCTGTTGAACAACATTCCTGTCACCGATGGATATCTGGAGCGTGTTCACAACAATCTGAAACAGGGAGGTATCTACTACCTACACTTGTCCAATAAATAAGAATGTGTTCTTAATTGACTTGCCTAGTTAAATAAAGGCAACAAAAAAAATAAGAAACGCTCATTTTCTTTTTGCGTTGCAAAACGTTTTGTTGTTTGTCCTAATGAACACAACCCTGCTTACCCACTTCAAGACTGTAAGGCAGTATATATACACATTACTAGTATTTTGATATCTAGGTAAAAGTATGACTAAATGGTGACTAATTCTGATTGGTTGAGAAAGGTCACCAAGACCTGTATGACCAGGACTCATCATCATGATGAAACATCTTAAAACCTTCAAGAATATAACATTTGGACTTCATTACATCTATTGTTGAAGAATACTGGTATTATGAGTGACATCCACTGATTACATTCTTCGAACCTCAAGACGCTCATTATTCCATTGGGACTAATCATCCTGTGCTTCATGCAAACAAAATGGCAGGCAGACAGACAACACACTTATACACAAACACACAACAAGGAGCTGGACGGAGACTGAAAAACAAACAGTGAGTGACAGGACTTACTTCTTGGGGTCGTAGAAGTCCATGGCCTTCTTGGCTTTGTTGTAGGCGGCCACCTTGAAGGGTACGATCTCCAGGGTGATGAGTCCAGGCGCCATGGTGAGGACCTTAGCACCGTGGGTGGGCTCGTACAGGTCCTTGCCCGTGGCTGGGTGGGGCATCCCCGCCGGGTCGCGACCCACAATGTAGAAGTTGGCGCCGGCCACCATTCGGGCACGGCAGTGCCACTGCACCTGTGGTATTATGGTAAAAAATATATATACTAGTTAATCAAAATGAATGTCAATGCTAACTTTTGGCATTTCTGATGGGAAAAAATACTAGACTTAGCGCTAATGCTACCTTTTAGCATTTTCAATGGGAAAACCCCTCTGGTCACTCAAAGTGAATGCTAACGTTTAGAACGTTTTAATGGTAAGCCAGGAGAAGGGGAAGTGGTTGGGCAGCTCTTTCAGTGGGTTGGAAAAACAAGGAGGCCTTGCCACAACAGGCACGTTGTGGTGAGAGAGATGGGAAGGGAAAAACAGCACTTGATTACCTTGACTGATTCGTAATCACGTACGGTGGAGCACAATTACCCTAAATACGAGTGAACATTGCTCTCGCTGCTGCTGCCGATGGACATGGAAGCAAGCCCCCTATAACTACATTACAAAGCAATTTCTTCAATAATAAACAGTCAATTACGGTAATGACGTTTGGACAGGAGTGCTCAAATCCCCCCCCGAACGTAGCGCCCACCGTCGAAATGCGAGAATCTGGTTTTACCACACATTACAGAAACAACAATAAACTGAACTCGAGTGGAAGTTTCAAATGACTAAAGAAAACAAGACTTCATTCTTTTGGCCTATCCTACTACTTACCCACCCCATACACTCCCATCCAAGTCTTAAAATTGGAAGTCTTCAACCTAAAACGCTAGTCCTTAAACTAAAAGCCCTTGATGAGAGAACAAAAGGAGTTAGGAGAAGAAAAAAAAACAGTTAAACTCTGTAGGCAGTCTGGCGAGGGAGGGATGAAGTGCATTGTTTTGTTAGCTGGTTGCCAGGTTGGAAGCGGGTCTTAAGATGGACACTCAGGGCCAGAGCCATGTGAACCCACTCCCTCCAATCTGGCAGCTATTTTATTTTATGCTCCTCCCCGGCACATGTGTAAATATCCTACTGTGCCTTCCCTGGATTTATATTCCTGCTAAATGTACTAAATGTTTTATTACATTGAGTTTATTTTGTATTATTCTTAACTTGCTTACTCTTATCATGTGGCATCGTCGATAGGGAACCTGCAAGTAAGCATTGTACCATGCGTACCATGTGTATCCTGTGCATACAATGCCTTCAGAAAGTATTCACACCCCTTGACTTTTTCCATATTTTGTTGTTATAACCTGAATTTAAAATGGAATAAATTGAGATTGTCACTGGCCTACACACAATACCCCATAATATCAAAGTGAAATTATGTTTTTTGACATTTTTACTAACTAATAAAAAATGAAAAGCTGAAATGTCTCGAGTCAATTCAATCCCTTTGTTATGGCAAGCCTAAATATTATTAAATAAGTTCAGGAGTAAAAATGTGCTTTACAAGTCACATAATACGTTACATGGACTGCAATAATAGTGTTTAACATGATTTTTAATGACTATCTCTGTACCCCACACATACAATGATCTGTAAGGTCCCTCAACCGAGCAGTGAATTTCAAACACAGATTCAACCACAAAGACCAGGGAGTTTTTCCAACGCCTCGCAAAGAAGGGCACCTATTAGTAGATGGTAAAAAAACTAAATAAGCAGACATTGAATATCCCTTTGAGCATGGTGAAGTTATTAATTACACTTTGGATGGTGTGTCAATACATCCAGTAACTACAAAAGATACAGGCGTCCTTCCTAACTCATAGTCACTTTAACTCTACCCACATGTACATATTACTTCAACTACCTCAACTAGCCAGTGCCCCCGCACATTGACTCTGCAACGGTACCCCCCTGTATATATAGCCTCCCTACTGTTATTTTATTTTACTTCTGCTCTTTTTTTCTCAACACATTTGTTGTTGTTTTATTTTACTTTTTTATAAAAAATAAATGCACTGTTGGTTAAGGGCTGTAAGTAAGCATTTCACTGTAATGTCTGCACCTGTTGTATTCGGCGCATGTGGCCAATAAAATTTGATTTGATTTGATACCGCTCAGGGATTTCACCATGAGGCCAATGGTGACTTTAAAACAGTTACAGAGTTTAATGGCTGTGATAGGAAAAAAATGAGGATGGATCAACAACATTGTAGGTACTCCACAATACTAACCTAACTGACAGAGTGAAAAGGAAGCCTGTAAAGAATAAAAACATTCCAAAACATGCATCCTGTTTGCATCAAGGCACTAAAGTAATACTGCAAAAAAATGTGGCAAAGCAATTCACTTTTTGTCCTGAATATGTTTGGGTCAAATCCAAGACAACACATAACTGAGTACCACGCTCCATATTTTCAAGCATAGTGGTAGCTGAATCATGTTATGGGTATGCTTGTAATCGTTAAAAACTGGGGAGTTTTTCAGGATAAAAAATAAACATAATGGAGCCAAGTACAGGGGAAAACCTGGTTCAGTCTGCTTTCCACCAGACACTGGGAGATTAATTCACCTTTCAGCAGGACAATAACCTAAAACACAAGGCCAAATCTAAACTGGAGTTGCTTACCAAGAAGACAGTGAATGTTCCGAAGTGGCCGAGTTACAGTTTTGACTTAAATCTGCTTGAAAATCTATGGCAAGACTTGAAAAAGGGTGTCTAGCAATGATCAGCAACCAATTTGACAGAGCTTGAAGAATTTTGAACAAAATAATGGGCAAACATTGTACAATCCAGGTGTGCAAAGCTCTTAGAGACTTACCCAGAAAGATTCACAGCATTAAATCGCTGCCAAAGGTGATTCTAACATGTATTGACTCAGGGTTGTGATACTTATGTTAATGAGATATTTCTGTATTTAATTTTCAATACATTTGCAAAAGTTTCTAAAAACATGTTGTTTTCACTTTGTCATAATGGGGTATTGTGTGTAGATTGGTGAGAAAAAAACACAATTTCATCAAATGTGGAATAAGTCAAGAGGTATGAATACTTTCTGAAGGCACCGTATGACAAATAAACTTGACTTATGATGGATGGGAATGTAGCATATGTAGTCAAACGCACATAACATTTCATAGGGTATTGGATGAGGCCGGAAAAATATTGTAGTAGTTTGTTCAGTTTATTTTCTTCTAAATGTATGGTTATGGACTGCACTTAGGCATGTTGTATAATTTCGGGCACAGCAAGTCTTTATTTTGTATGGGTGTAGGGCATCTGAAGGGAAGGGATCATTACCACTACCTCGCTTTCCAACAACAGTGAATGAATTGAGGAGACAACTGAAGTAGAGAGAAGATGCAGCAACTCTTGGAGGACAATCGAATTACATTAAAAAGCTTCTTTATCCTCAGAAGGCCCCAAAAAAGCAGAAACGCGTTGGATCTACTTTTAACAATAAGGAAGCTTTTGTGGTGCATTTGATGCCAGGCTGTAAGATCACACAGACAGATGATGGGCCATTTCTCTTCAGGCTGCATTGTGTTCCCCAGAACAGAACTGAACATAGCTCAGTCTGGTCTCAATGATCATCTCCCCATAACCCTGACTACATGATTAAAGCACAGCAGCAGACTTCAAACAGCTAGACAAGCATCAAGTAAAGACAACATAAAAGGACAGAAATAATATTCAACTTTCTAAGTCTAAATCGGACTGTCCCATCATATTACAATCACTGTGACCATCAGGCAATTTAAGTAGCCTCCAGTTCTCGAACTGTGCTCCCAAGTGTACTCATTACTTTGGCTTGTGTTACAGACTTTGTCAGGTCCATAGAAATAGAATCCATGGAATGGACTTGGCTGCCAGTCCACCCATTATTTCAACCATTGACTTGAATGGGGAGGACCGTTCTATGGGTTTTATTTCTATGGTCAGGTCACTGCTAGCTTACCTCAGTGGGGCCGGCGTACATCATGGGCGACGGGAAGATGGCCACGATGGTGTTTTCGGGTTTGAGCACGCCCTCGTCCAGCACGGCGGCGTGCTGCTTCATGCGCCACTCTAAAGGCACGTCGTCGTCCTTGGTCCAACCGCCCAGTGGGTGCAGCAGTAGGACGGGCCGGCGGTAGCCCCGTTCCATCAGACGCCTGTGGGTGTCCTGCATGAGGAGGGCGTGGCCGTTGTGCACCGGGTTACGCAGCTGGAAGGCAAACACTGCGTCTGGAGGGAGAAAAAGGTCCGACAAAGACTGATTGAGATCGTGCTTTTCTTAAACTGAGAGGAGAGGAGAGATGGAGGCTCAACAGATGGTTAGGCTGTTCTCTGTTCGCTAACTCTCTTCACATTACCTGCATTCATCTCCTTGAACTTGTGTTTGAGCTCAGTGGGGGTGAGTCTGTACTGGTCCAGGCCATCGTTCCAGCTAATCTTGTCCAGGACCTGCAGGTCTCCTCCTACCAACCAGTCTCCACTCTCCATTACCATCTGGACCAGACAGAGACAACACTCTGACCATCAGCATCATACAGTACTACACCCGACTTCACTGTGACCCATATATTTTCCAGGTATTTTTTAAAACAACATTTTCCAGGACATTTCAATTACCTTTTACCAGAACTTATTTAACTCCGGGTATTGTGCAGATCTGAAAGGACTGGATAGGTGTAAGCAATATGGTGAACATTTCAGATAGCCTATCAAAGAAGAGCAAGGTGCAGTAATGGTCATATTGCTTATACCTATCCAATCCTGTCAGAGGTACATGAAGAGCCTGAGGCTATGGATAAATTTGAAACTGAGGGTAAAAAACTCCTCTACCATGTTCATACTGCAGTTATGACATCCATTAAGGACTGTTCAAACAGTAAACCTTCCCAATCTGGCAACCGCTGCAAGTGGGGCGGGATTACGTATATAAAATCAATAACAGCCCCAGACAACTTTAAATACAACATATAAAAAAGTTGAACGAGAGACTCCTACAAATTGGAACCCAGTGAGAAAGAATGAAGAATCCCCTTTGCTTTATGCCTTTGACCGCATCTCTCTCTTGACTTTCGCAAAAAAAACTCAGAGGAAGACTAAATATGATGTGTAATGTAATCCACAATGAGACACCATTCATGATGAGCTCATGGACCGCATTGAAGCGATTTTTCCCCTTACAAGATTGTTCTAATGTCCCCAAAGTACTGCTAAACTCAGGCAAAGCCAGCTTTGTTTCAGGCTATAACTCCTGGTCTGCCTCTCTGGGCATTTACTACTGGAGTCTGTGCTGGCTACACTGTAACCACTGGACCTGCCCCGTAATAGAGCTCTCTATGGAGTACACTCTGCAGGGTAGGTACTAAAGCCATCAAAGCGTCAGGACTATGGATCGACTACGGCAGGACCAGGGAGACCAGAAGTACACAACGGTGTCTTATAGAGATGGCTATTCAATATTACTCAAGGAGTTAAGGTTAGAAAATAATATGAGCCTGCTAGTGATCAGTTATGATGTCCCAGATAACATGGTCACACTGGCATGTAATGGTTTTGATTTAAGGGGGGGGGGGGGGGGGGGGGGGGGGGGTTTATTCATATGGATTTAACTGTATGGGGGCTGAGTCTTAGATTTCACTGGCTATAATTTTATATTCTGAGGAGGATTCCACAGTAGCACTGACTGTTTCTGACAGACGTTGGTAGTGCACTTGGCCCAAGCCTTTGCAAGTTGTGGAAGGCAGGGGGTTGTTTTTCACAACACAACTAAGAAAATGGCGCTTATATTATTCACAAGATGATGTACACTGCATATATCTTTAGTCTTCAATGAAACATATTTGAGAGAGAGAACAGAAGTGGCTACAAGTCTGCCCTCTTTTTATTATCATGAATAAGCCAGAGAGGAAGGATGGATGGAGGAGTTTAGTGTAACGATGTGAAGAAGTGCATTCATTCCACTAAATCCAACTACATTTTTACATTTTAGTCATTTAGCAGACGCTCTTATCCAGAGCGACTTACAGGAGCAATTAGGGTTAAGTGCCTTGCTCAAGGGCACAGACAGATTTTTCACCTAGTCGGCTCGGGGATTAGAACCAGCGACCTTTCGGTTACTGGCACAACGCTCTTAACCACTAAGCTACCTGCCGCCCCTAGTCTGATCTACTGGCTTCAGATCAGTGGTAAAGCAGACGAACAGCCCTTACTTTGGAGGCTGAGACAGAAAAGACCAATCTGAGGAAAACCGGCTTCAATTCAAATCCCAAACACACATTAGATCTTTTTTAAACATTCTAAGATGGAAAATGATAGTAGTATGCTAGCTCAGGGTAACCCAAAGCAGCATTTACACGATAATACACACACACACACACTGTGTTTTAGATATAAGGGGGCTCCTGCTAAATTAAACAATGCAGCATGCTGTAGTTTCCGACGTGAAGGCTCCTGTCGCCCTGACAGGAGTAAACAGGAAACGTGGATTAACCGCAACGTAATACGGAGCAGGTTATTCCTAGTCTCAGAGAGAGACGGAGACGGGATGAGGGGCTGCCGCCCGCGAGGGGTGTGTTGATGGATCGGCTCCAGCGCAGGGAGTTAAACACACACACACACGCTCTTTAACGAGTGACACCTTAATCATAGCAAGCTGTACACACACAGCGGAGACAGGACAGGAGGCACGGTTGGAGAAACAGAGTGAGTGACAGGTCTGGGAGAACCCACTACCCAGCATGCATTGCCTGCAGCAGGGCCAGAGCCACCAGACTCAGAAGCACTAGAGGATTATGGGTAGCTGATGGACAGCCAACCACGCTGCTTTCTTGGTAAACTGACAGTGTCTCCAACTGAACACCAACCCAGAATGGATGACAGACGCTGAAGATAGTGTTGACTGTTCAACTCAAGTCTTTGTTGAATTGAAGGTCAGTTTGAGTGAAACAGGAGAGACGCCTAGCTCACTAGGCCTATGTGGTATTCAGATTCACAGTACCTCACCCAGCCAATGACTTTCAACAGGGCAGGGCTTTACAATTAGGTTAAGTGTTAAGTGTGTCTGTTCAGTGTGTTTAAAATCATCAGACTGAGTTAGGCTGAAGACAGTATAGCACTACTCCAGCTCCCTCTGTGTGTGTGTGTGCAACAAGGCACAAAATTGTCCCGAGGGAGACAAAATTGTCCCGAGACAGTTAGCAAAAATAACCCTAGCCCGGCTACTGCCACCATCAGTCTAGAGGATAGGGTTTAGGTCTCCAGTCCTGCTGTGTGATGTGGCGGCGTGTGTGTGCAACTGCACTTGTGTGTGTGTGTGTGTGTGAGAGATACAGCTTTTCCAGGTTTGATCCCTCGCCACGGCTCGGCTGGTGCCTGTTATTTTTTTTAAGCAAAGGGTTGGGATCATTTCACTCGCCATCAAGTCTACCTGAGCACCCACTGATATAATAACAGTCAATACGAGGCAGATGGAAACAATTGTTGCTATATTTGCTGGGGTATATTTGGAATGGATAAGGGTGGGTGGCTGCTGGCGGGGGTTAGCGTGTGTGTGTGTGTGTTCAGCGGGGCCAGCTCCAAGTCCAGGATAGCTTTACTAAAAGCCCTGTGTAAATAAAATGCAGTTTGAAGGGGCCAGATGGAGAGAGAGGGCCGAGAGAGAGAGACTGTGATCCAAATAAAACATGTGTGCGAATTGAGGGCGGTCCGAGGGGGATGGAGCGATTACACAAGCAGTTCTGACAGGGGAAGGAGGCGAGAGCAGCTCCTTTCTTTATTCAGTCCTTCCATAAGCAGCATTGAGGAAAAGGGTCACCTAGAATCTGTCTTCTATTAGAACGAATGTGTGTGTGTGTGTGTGTGCGTGCGTACAAGTCCAAGGGGAGAGTTGGTTGGGTTGGACATGGGGAGAGTGTTTACCAAACAGCACGTTAAGGGTAACCGTCTCAGGGCCCTGCCTGTATTGTTCAGTATTATCACCAGGGTTCCATTTCATAATAACCATCAGTGGGATATTCTAAAGAGCTCTGGAGACTGTGTAGCCGTAACAGAAGGTATGGGTGTATGATAATAAACGTGGTGGAGGGAGGTGTGAGAACTTCAAGGCTCCTCCCTGTCACACATGACATACACTGTCACCTGAAGCTGTCACGAGCACCGGTTTGAGCAAAACAAAGATAACAAACACTGTCGTTTCAACATGTTACATGACAGTTTTCAATAGTGACAGCTTTCGTCGGCAAGTCAAGACACCCCTTTCTGTGCAGTGGAACGGTCCGTAGCCCCCACTGTCCGTTTATGTGATAGGCTCTCTGGAACTAACCACTGACCTTGATGCAGGGGTGTTACTCAACAGTTTTCAACATTGACAGCTTTTTCCTGGCACAACACCCCTCGCGCTGCAGTGGACCGGACGGTGGCTGCCCTGCCTGTCTATGTGGTAGGGGTATCTGGAACTAACCACTGACCTTGATGTAGGGGTGGTCCTTGCAGGTGGTGCCCCACTGGCGGGCGCAGCGCTCCTCCTTGCGGTGCTCGTAGAACTCGGGATTGCGGAGGATGGCCACGCGGCGGCCCTCGTACACCAGAGCCATGGCCGTCACGCCATCCAGGCGCTCCTTGTCCGCCCCGGACACCGGCAGCACCACCGGCACCGACAGGTTTATGACGCCACCTAGGGGACGGGAGGGGAACAGGTGGGTTGGTTGATTGAGGGGGTCAATTGTACTTGATACATTTGTAAAATACGACAGTGGTTGAATGAAGGAAAGGAGACGTGGAAGTTAGCCGTGTTAGTGCATTGAAACACAGACTAAATCAACTTCAGGCAGCTAATAGAGGATGTTGATAGGTCAGAAACCAGACAGCCCCATCAGCAAAACTGCAGCATCACAGTCCCTCTTACAATAACTTCAAGTACAGCATACCTACTGCATACTATGCCAGGGAATACTTAGAAGTTTTAGATATACGAGGTGATTAGTGAACAACCACCATCCAGTCTTGTGCATTCAGCTGGTTTCTGACCCTCGTAGAAAGAAAGAAAGAAAGAAAGAAAGAAAGAAAGAAAGAAAGAAAGAAAGAAAGAAAGAAAGAAAGAAAGAAAGAAAGAAAGAAAGAAAGAAAGAAAGAAAGAAAGAAAGAGAGAAAAATAAGAGAGAAACAGGGAGAGAGAAACAGGGAGAGAGACAGAGAGAGAGAGAGCACGAGAGAGAGAGAGACGGAGAGAGAGAGAGCACGAGAGAGAGAGAGACGAGAGAGAGAGCACGAGAGAGAGAGAGGCCCTGTGTTGACATGACGTTGGCAGATTAATTTAGCCCTACACCTTGATTAAACCAACATGACCGGCACGCTTTTCACATCCTATTGGATCAGATGGTGTGTTGTTGGATGGGATGCCATTGCTGCCAACCCCCACCCCCCCCGCCCGCCCCACTCCTTGGTCCTCTGTCACTGAGTTAGCACACACAGCTGGCTTCAATAAGACACGCAATCACAGACCTGCCTGCTGTCCCGGCCTGGCCCATGCTAAACATGGAGCTGGCACAAACACACAACACAGTCGTACACCAGGGAAATGCTGGTGTCCTTGTCTCTCCCACTAACTGGGACTCCAAATCAGGGACAGATTACAATGAAGTGACAGTAGGGTTGCAAAATTCCGGTAACTTTACCAGAATTCCCTAGTTTACCAGAAATCCTGGTTGGAAGATTCCCGTATTTCCTGCTTATTCCCTCGTAATTCCAGGAATCTTCCAAACAGAATTTCTGGAAAACCAGGGAATTTTGGGAAAGTTACCAGAATTTTGCAACCCTAAGTGAAAGTGAGGGTAAAAGGGTCATTTAACTACAAACGTTGTTATTCAAATGAACGAATGATCTGAAGTCTATCCAATCATGTTTGGTTCAGTTGTTATTGTGTGGAAGGAAGCTCCTCCAGCATTGTGAAATCCCTAGAAGGAACTGGAAATAGACAAGTGATCGTTTGTGGAGGCAATCAATATTGAGGCTTCATCCTTTTCCTCCGCTCACATTTCCCTCGCTAGGACAAACACGCCAAACCCGAGTGAGGACACTGCACATCGACACATTTCATTCAGCGTTCTCTCCCAAGCACACACACACTACACAGGCCCAGTTCCCTTTACTTTCCACAGCATAGTCGCCATTAGCTCTGGTCCAAAACATATTGAAACGATATCAAAAGAAAACCCAGACCTGATCCCCAAAATTTTTGGGACGTTCAGACTCTTGTTGGATACAGTGCTGTGAAGAATGGAGAGTTGTTGTTGTAAGGAACACCTGTGATATCGGACAGCTAATGAAACACTGGCTTGGTTATCATTTCGGCTATTTAACACATTTTTATGCTGCGTGTGTGTGCGTTCGCGCCAGTATGTATTGGCAACACATCACACACGTCGCCTTAAGGGTCAGTGTTATGTGGGCAATAAAAGCAAATTGACTATTTTTTGGAAATTCAAACGCTGTGTAGGAAATTGGTGTAATTACACAGTTTCAACAATACCAAGACTGGGTTACAAGACGGAGCGCCCCGCGGCGCTCCTTTAGCCCAACTCAAAAGATACCGGTTATATTTGTTTCCAGAGAATATAAATGACTGAGTCTTGAGCCTGAAGCGTAAAACGATCCCGATGACTCAACACAATAGCATGGTCAAATTATCCCTCTGTTTCTTTCATCTAAAATCAGACTTACTTTTGATTGACTAATGTATTCAATTGTATTTGGTCATTTTGAGGTAATATATTGAGGATAATCCGACCACTTGTAAAGTTCCACCATGTCCTTTTGTGAGCCTTCATCTCCCTCTAGTGTCCATTATAGAGCATGACACCCATCAATTCATTTGACTTCACTGTGAGAGAAATACACCTGTGTTTTTCACAGCAGATTTACAACCTCCTCAAAATGTCAGTGGGAGGACTAAGAAAGGCGGACATTTTGAGAAGGAGGCGAGGACAATAGGAAAACATGAGGGGATCAAGGAAAGACTATTGAGAAAGGGCCGTCGTGCTGTCTTACCGTCCAAGAGACAGTCAAAGTGGAGACACTGCAGGAACTCCCTCTCCCTCATGAAGCCGTTCAGGGGCGTGGCCCAGCCCTCAGCAAGCACCTGAACCCACTGCATGTCCACCTGTGGTCAAACGGCGGTCAATCAGCACTCAAATAATGGTTCAACAGCATTCAGAGTGTGGTCAAACATGCTTTCAGAAATGTTCTCATCACATTCAATTATCACTTTCACATAGGCCTTTAGAATCTTACAACAAATTATCTTTCCATCCCCCCTAGACTCTCGAAAAATACCAGAAGGTGTTAGCACAAATGGTATTTGATGATAACGGTTACCTTTCCAATCTGCACAGCAGGCAGTGTCTCAGCATCTGTCTTGGCCAGGTCCAGCTTGTTCTCCACTACGTACAGCTCCTTCACTTCATAGGAAGCATCCACCGGCACTATATCCTACAAATATTAATTCATTATATCAGTGAAAATGCACTAAACGTTATTGCAAAACGAGAACATCCAAGAGGTTGATTGCGTTGGATATGAATTCAGGGGTGTGAAAGTGGCAGTTATACAGCTGTGAGGAGTTAGTTTTCTGGAAATGTGAATCCCAATCTGAAAGTGTGAAGACATTACCCTCTAGTGGTGGGAATTAAATGTGACACCATGCCTCCATGTTTCAGGTTTCAATTCATCTGTTTATATCAAACCTCATCTATGAATGGATGGATGAATGGATGGATGTTTCTCTCACCTTCTCCTGTAGCAGGTCAATGAGCTGCTGTATAGACTCATTGACACTGCAGGAGTCAGTCTTCAGCACCAGCTCTGGGGCCTCTGGTTTCTCATACTCCGAGTCTATCCCAGTGAAACCTGATGGAGAAAACATTCACAATTAATTCATAAAATAGCTGAATCAGTCACTCAATTGGCATGAATAACGATAGCTGAATATGAATCAATGAATCAATATGTAATTTCCTAATTTGCAGAAAGGTTGTGACTTCATTAAAGTTGCAGGGAAGGTAATATCTATCCACTAACATTTACATTTTAGTCATTTAGCAGACACTCTTATCCAGAGCGACTTACAGTTAGTGAGTGCATACATTATTACTTTTTTTCATACTGGCCCCCCGTGGGAATCGAACCCACAACCCTGGCGTTGCAAACGCCATGCTCTACCAACTGAGCTACATCCCTGCCGGCCATTCCCTCCCCTACCCTGGACGACGCTGGGCCAATTGTGCGCCACCCCATTAAGTCAGTGGTTCCAAAACTTTATCAGTTACTGTACCACAAACTGAATTCTGCTCTGCCCGGAGTACCCCTGAAGTACCTCCTCATGTGCATTTTAACAGTAACCCTACGGTCTCATGAGTCTCCTCAAGTACCCCCAGGGGTCATAGTACCTCTGGTTGGGAACCACTGCACAAGTCACACAAATTAAATTAAATCAGGCTTTTTGTAGACATGGTTCACACTGCTTATCATCCAGATTGGCATGACTTGAAGAGACAAGCTTCTTAATAGTGTGGTCTGAGGACAGGCTTGATCGGGGCTGAATCCCACCCCATCCCCCATTCAATGTTTCATTCCACTACCTGACATACAGCACCTGGTAGATCATGTCTTGACCAGTTTGACCATTAGGACAGCATAACTAGGCTTCACAGTACGTTGTCTCATGCGTACAACTCAGAGATTAGCATGAAGGAACCTACAAGTAAGCATTTCATTGGACTGTGCACACCATGTTTATACTGTCTACACCATGTTTATACTGTGCACACCGTGTTTATACTGTCTACACCGTGTTTATACTGTCTACACCGTGTTTATCCTGTCTACGCCGTGTTTATACTGTCTACGCCGTGTTTATACTGTCTACGCCGTGTTTATACTGTCTACGCCATGTTTATACTGTCTACGCCATGTTTATACTGTCTACGCCATGTTTATACTGTCTACACCATGTTTATACTGTCTACACCATGTTTATACTGTCTACACCGTGTTTATACTGTCTACACCGTGTTTATACTGTCTAACACCGTGTTTATACTGTCTACACCGTGTTTATACTGTCTACCACGTGTGTTTATACTGTCTACGCCTGTGTTTATACTGTCTACGCCGTGTTTATACTGTCTACGCTACATGTTATACTGTCTATACGCATGTTTATACTGTCTACGCCATGTTTTATACTGTCTACACCATGTTTATACTGTCTACACCATGTTTATACTGTCTACACCGTGTTTATACTGTCTACACCATGTTTATACTGTCTACACCATGTTTATACTGTCTACACCATGTTTATACTGTGCACACCATGTTTATACTGTCTACACCATGTTTATACTGTCTACACCGTGTTTATATACTGTCTACACCGTGTTTATATACTGTCTACACCGTGTTTATATACTGTCTACACCGTGTTTATACTGTCTACACCGTGTTTATACTGTCTACACCGTGTTTATACTGTCTACACCGTGTTTATACTGTCTACACCGTGTTTATACTGTCTACACCGTGTTTATACTGTCTACACCGTGTTTATACTGTCTACACCGTGTTTATACTGTCTACACCGTGTTTATACTGTCTACACCGTGTTTATACTGTCTACACCGTGTTTATACTGTGTATAACTTGAACTCAGAGCTTAGCATGGTGCACTAGACTAGATTGAGATCTTAACCCAGCAACTTCCTTAGCTTGTGACTCACTGTTTCACTGAGCGATAAACGACACAGCACTTTGTCTGGTAACAACAGCCAAAGACATGAGATCATGTACCTGCTGGTCAAAACCAATACACTTTACATACTTTCTCTAGAGACTTTTCTCGTACACTTTTTCATACTTACTAATGCTATAAGAGTTCTTTATGGTAAAATGCCTACATGTATAAGCTATATGTATGTGTTATTTAGCTTGCGTTACCTCTGATCTCTCCCGCCCTGGCTCTCTTGTAGAGACCCTTGACGTCTCTCTGTTCACACACGTCAAGCGGCGCGTCCACAAACACCTCGAAGAAGGGCAGGCCTGCAGCCTCGTGGATCTTCCTGGCGTTCACACGATCCTGGACGACGGGGAGACAAACAACGGGATAGTTAACTCCTGATGACGATAGAGTGTTTCTGAAATCATCAACTGGGAATTACAGGCAAAACATAAGTAGCAGCATATTAACTCTCCCCATCTCCACCTTTATTTTTCCTCTCTTCCTCATGACTTGTCACCTCTTCCTCTCTGTCTTACTATATCCCCCTTCTATTCTGTCCTCTCCCACCCCCAACTCACCCGTCCGTAGGGCGAAATGAAGCTGGCGATGCAGACGAGCCCTGCGTCGGCGAACAGGCGGGCCACCTCGGCTATACGCCTGATGTTCTCCTCGCGGTCCTCGGGGCTGAAGCCCAGGTTCTTGTTCAAGCCTTGGCGGATGTTGTCTCCGTCCAGCGAGTAGCAGGGGATGCCGTGGCACACCAGGTACTCCTCCAGGGCCATGCTCACCGTGGTCTTCCCAGCCCCAGACAAACCTGGGTGGGAGAGAGTGGCGAGAAATAGGTGTTGATGGTGGTTGGTCAATATTAGCATTGAATGTAGCCAGCTAGCAATACCCAATTTTAGCATTGGGTCAATATTACCATTGAATGAATGACAAAAATGGTGGCCATCAATGTTAGCATTGAATGCATGATAACAAATGGTGCCTGTCAATATTAGAATTGAAGGCAGAGCGTGGATGAATGTGATGCATTCTTTAAAAATGCTACCGTTGATTGAATGCTAATATTGTCTTTTGGTAGTACATGAAACCCAAATACGTCAGTAAACCTTGTTCAATGGTGAGTTACAATGTGAGTGAATATAAAGTGACTGAAAGAAAGGCTTGATAAAACATTTGTATTTCATTGAAGACTGTAACTAACGATAACCTGGTCCCAGATCTGTTTATGCTGTCTTGCCAACTCCTATGGTCATTCTCACAACAACCAATGACCCTAGGAGTTGACAAGACAGCACAAACAGATCTGGGACCAAGCTAACTGAACTTTAGTTATTCTGTATACCTGTGAGCCAGACAGTGCATCCACGGAAGCCTCCTCTCGTCCCCACCACCTGACCACGCTTGTTCCTGCTGACATGGTGAGCCTGGTAGGTCACATTAGTCGCCCTCTGCATTCCCTGCAATCACAATATTGTTCTGTCCTTTAGTTTCATATCAAATTACACTGACTTAGCCCCAAATGCAAAGGAACAAATAGGACTAACACTGACTGACTTTGCAACATACAGTAGCCACAGAGTCCAGGACAGGACAGGACAGGCACATCTCTTACTCATTAAGCAAAAGGTAATCAGCAATATTATGACAAAAACGTTGAAGGACTGGTTTGCACCTAATGTACAGTAAGGTGACATAGGGCTAAGTTACATTCCAATGCATGTTCTCTGTCACTAGGCTGCTGCTGAGTAGATTAGCAAGAAGCATTTTGAGGGTCACACAAAAATGTACATCAAGGGACACGGGTCATTTTGCAGCAGATACAGGATCATATAGTTAGTTAGCTAGCTAGCTAACTGCAGCATGCTTTTGGAATGTCGTGCAAGATATAGCTAGCTACAAATGGCTGTCTGTCTGGCATTTGGTGGCAATTCTAAGACGCTAACTAGTTGCATTTATCCAATCCTAGTAACACGACCATTCGCGCAGCTAAGAAATTATTGCATAATTTAATCATAGCAGTAAATGTTTTACTGGGAACAGAAATTGCAGAAACAAGAGACAACATTAATAGTTTCGCAACATATTAGTGGACGTGGCAGTGGTCGTGGGGGTGTGAATGAATGCAACAACTCACCCAATTCTCGCTTGATGCGTTGCTCAGCTTCGGTTTCTTGTGAGAGTTTCCGGAAGTCTCCATAACGGTCTATAATGAAAGCTTTCTTCACCAGTTACGGTTTATGCGACCTACAAAATAAATTACTAACGCGTTATCTTTTTACGGACAGTTATCTCTTTGAATGGAGGAACCTTAAACAGGAACCGAGGAGGACGGCCTACGTCATCAGAATCGGAAGTGATGTCTATCCGCTGGTGAACTGTCTGTTATTTGAAAACTGATTTGGAGTCAGTTTTATTCGCGCAAATCTCAAACGACACCGTGATGACATCAATGGATGACATAGCTAGATTACATAACATATCCTGGACCAGTTATTAATGACCTGTGGTGTGTATCGCAGAGATAAATACGGAATGCACATTAGATAAAAATATGTTCAGATTAGACTATACATTTCGATTGAGACATTTTTGTTTTTTGGCTCCAGTTTGAATTTTTTCCAATTCAATTATATGATTGGAAATGACCTTTTAAAGAACTATATCATGTACTGTGGCAAATCCTATTCATAAAATAATTAAATAAATAAATATAATCCAACATTTAAAACAGTTGTCGGAAAGACAGACTTGATTACAAAATATTAAAAGCTATCTATGAAGAATTGAACTGTAAACTAAGACTTGTAGCCAACTGTATGTTGCATGTGGTTGGCCCTGTAGTTTACACGTGGATGGAGACTACTTTGGAAAACGCCCACCCCCACATCAAAGGAAGAAGTGTGATGATAGGCTATGTACTTATTCAATGCCCTCATTACAGGACAGGCCTGGGAATAAATAGCCTATTTTTCTTAATCATCATGTAGACCTAGTTGGCTAAGCATAGGCTTTACCGCTTTTGAAGCGTGAACAATCTTGCTTCAATATAGCATGTTTATTTCTTAGATGGTTTGTATGACATTTAAAAATATAAATATTTAAAAATAAATTGAATTGCAATCAAATATCCAGTTATATACATTGTAGGCCTAATTCATTATTGAACGTTAGAAAAAGATTGAAATGCATATCTTGCATTTGAAAATGCTATGCAATATATCTTTGAATGGATGGGCATTGGAAGGTTGCTTTATCATGTCTATCACCACTGGTCAGGTGAAACAATTGTATGCTTGCTGTTAAATAATCTTTCTACAAAGGAGTGGGCAGGTAAGTAAAGAAGTGATGGTTTTGGCGACAGTTTCTGCAGCTGACTGTAGGCTAGGCTATACAGTAATGCAGAGAGGGGTTGTATGTTTGCGTATGGGAGGAGCACACGCTCAAAGACAGAGTTCATTCCAGCCATGTAAACATTATGAGTTTGAACGCGAAGAGAACAAGGCGCACGACTGGAGAGGATCTCAAGCAAGACAGGTAGGTTGATAAACGATATGCTCTACATACAATGAATAGTAGCCAAATGCACGTATGCTAGGCTACTGAATAGCCTAGAGTGAATTGCATTATATGGAATGAATATTACAACCTATGAAGATAACTATTGTGATCCAGGTTGGTATCACCAATGTATGTTATGTTGCTAGTAGGCAACATCATTGTAGTTATGATAATCAAATTATTTTTCGACAACAAATATACGTTTTTCTTTTCTTTCATTCACTGTGTAGCCTGTAGTCATGGACAGTACTAAATAGCCTAGTTTCCAAATTCAAACATGATCTTTCCCAATATTAAATAAGCAAGCAAAGATGCCTCAGTGGTGAAAGAATACTAGCCTAATCTTGTGCACGGAATGATGATGTCATTTGAAGATGCTTTATTACGGGCAAGAGAACAGGTTCCTTATCGTTCATTGGCAGCATGACGTGGGACAGGAAATACTGTAGACAAGGCACACCTCTACAGGTGATATGTTCTTTTTGAACGTCAAAACTATGCTAACTATACAGTATTTGAATAGAAAACATTTAATGTACAAGCTAATGATGTAGGCTACAGTGGATGTTGAAATGTTTCTTCTTCTAATTACATTACATTAATCCAATACCAGACCATTTCCAATTTCAGCAGGTCTATGATAGTCTGTTAATGGCCTTCCGTTGAGTTAATTACAAGAGACAGAACAGCTCATGGAACCCTTAGAACCCTTAGAATTAAAATGACTATTTCCATGGTGGAACCTTTGCCTCACGCTGGTGCCCCTTTTAGAACATGGTGGTTAATGAAGGTGGTGGGGGGGTGTTCCTGAAAAGTAAATGTTAAATGTGGAGACCTGCTGCTCGGCACACAGACACACCCCCGCCCGGCGCCCGCCTTGTAATACTGGAGCCCTAGCAGTCTCCCATACCCTGAAATTATCCACCAGGCACCCACCCATGTGTGGCTAAGCCACCAGGGCGTAACAGAGTGGTTTCACCCGAACCGAGACCGGAGACCTGCCCATGTTGGTCTTCTAAGGAGAACAGTTAAAGTTACTGTGTAGTCTACTGCTGTGTGTTGTTGGTGAATTCCTTTTTCATGTAAAAGTGTAGGAACATGCACATGTTCTTTTGTCCCATGTCTTGATGGAAGACAGACATGCGCTTGTTTACAATGCTAATCGGCTGAACTTCCGATGCGGTGGCCCCTCTTGTTGAGTGAGAAGGAGAGGTATCGGAGAAAGAGAGCGATCACTGCAATAAGAAGAAGACTCAATGATACAGAGCTGAACTCTAAGGAATTAGAAGAAGGCAAAGTAAACGTGGACATTTGGGGTGTTTCTAAAAAGGCCTTCTTAACAGACAACAATATCGCAATATTCCTCTGTTAGGCAGTACCTCATCTTGATCACTGTCCATTATCTATTCACTGACTGACCTTTATTTAAAATCAACCTCATTAATTGGACAGAGGGAAAGGACATACACTGAATCCTAACCTACAGTGGCTTGCGAAAGTATTCACCCCCCTTGGCATTTTTCCTATTTTGTTGCCTTACAACCTGGAATTTAAATGGCTTTTTGGGGGGGTTGTATCATCGGATTTACAAAACATGCCTACCACTTTGAAGATGCAAAATATTTTTTCTTGTGAAACAAACAAGAAATAAGACAAAAATACAGAACTTGAGTGTGCATAATTATTCACCCCCCCCCAAAGTCAATACTTTGTAGAGCCACATTTTGCAGCAATTACAGCTGCAAGTCTCTTGGAGTATGTCTCTATAAGCTTGGCACATCTAGCCACTGGGTTTTTTGCCCATTCTTCAAGGCAAAACTGCTCCAGCTCCTTCAAGTTGGATGGGTTCCGCTGGTGTACAGCAATCTTTAAGTCATACCACAGATTCTCCATTGGATTGAGGTCTGGGCTTTGACTAGGCGATTCCAAGACATTTAAATTTCCCCTTAAACCACTTAAGTGTTGCTTTAGCAGTATGCTTAGGGTCATTGTCCTGCTGGAAGGTGAACCTCCGTCCCAGTCTCAAATCTCTGGAAGACTGAAACAGGTTTCCCTCAAGGATTTCCCTGTATTTAGCGCCATCCATCATTCCTTCCATTCTGACCAGTTTCCCAGTCCCTGCCGATGAAAAACATCCCCACAGCATGATGCTGCCACCACCATGCTTCACTGTGGGGATGGTGTTCTCGGGGTGATGAGAGGTGTTGGGTTTGCGCCAGACATAGCGTTTTCCTTGATGGCCAAAAAGCTCAATTTTAGTCTCATCTGACCAGAGTACCTTCTTCCATATGTTTGGGGAGTCTCCCACATGCCTTTTGGCGAACACCAAACATGTTTGCTTATTTTTTTCTTTAAACAATGGCTTTTTTTGGCCACTCTTCCGTAAAGCCCAGCTCTGTGGAGTGTACGGCTTAAAGTGGTCCTATGGACAGATACTCCAATCTCTGCTGTGGAGCTTTGCAGCTCCTTCAGGGTTATCTTTGGTCTCTTTGTTGCCTCTCTGATTAATGCCCTCCTTGCCTGGTCCGTGAGTTTTGGTGGGCGGCCCTCTCTTGGCAGGTTTGTTGTGGTGCCATATTCTTTCAATTTTTTAATAATGGATTTAAGGGTGCTCCGTGGGATGTTCAAAGTTTCAGATATTTTTTTATTAACCCAACCCTGATTTGTACTTCTCCACAACTTTGTCCCTGAGCTGTTTGGAGAGCTCCTTGGTCTTCATGGTGCCGCTTGCTTGGTGGTGCCCCTTGCTTAGTGGTGTTGCAGACTCTGGGGCCTTTCAGAACAGGTGTTTAAAAACGGAGATCATGTGACAGATCATGTGACACTTAGATTGCACACAGGTGGACTTTATTTAACTAATTATGTGACTTCTGAAGGTAATTGGTTGCACCAGATC